TGCTCTGAACCCAGTGCTCAAGTTCATCAAGATCGCCCTGGATCTTCATTCTGTCTTCTAGGGTGTTTGCTATTCCACCCAGTTTTGTACCATCTGCACCATCATGTCACCTGTCTCTTCCTCACTGGTCCTCACATAGAAGCAGGATGGCTGGTATGGCTCCTGCAGTTGTCACTTTTCCCAGATTCTGTGCTAGTTGCATACCAGGACTTTGGAAACCATGATCCTGGGTTCAGGCAACAGAACAAGCTTTGGTGGTATGGAAAAACCATAGAACAAGCTGTTATTTCCTACCATGGTTTCTAAAGACCAACTTACCAAGGTGAAATACCATGATTGGTTCAGACAACACAACAGACCAACAATGTTTAAAAAACCCACCATAGCTTGTGTTGTCTGAACCCAGCCACTACCCAAATAGAGCACATTCAGTAGCAATGTATGTCATGCATGTGTGCAATATATAGAAAATGTAGCTTGATTCATTTTCTGTGATCATCTGGAGTTACCAGCTCTTTATGTTCCTTCCTGCTTTTTGCTTGCAGGACACTAAGCTATGTGGGTCTCTCTCTCTGAGCAACTGTGTCCTGCCCTCTACACATTCACAGGAATGTCCTTCTGTCCATCTTTTGCAGGATATAGATGGGTTCCTGGAGCTTCTCTATTAGTTCCGTTGCACAGTTCTGCTGCTCACTGAGTTTTTCAGTCTGTGCCTTCCTCATCACCATCCCATATAGTTTACAGAGTCTAACTTCCTATAATGCTGGGATGAACAACTTGTGGCCCTCCAGAGATTTTGTCCTGCAGCCTCCATCAGTTATAGCAAGCAGAGTTAATGGTGAGATGTCTGCAGGAGTTGTAGACCAAAACATCTGGAAAGCCGCAGGTTTCCACTCCCGCTATACATGTCAAGGAGAGTCCCAGAGGAAAATTAATCTGCCTTTTTGCATGAAACTTCCAATTTTCCCAGTTCTGTGCTTGAGCAGCCTTCCAGCTTCACCATCCCCAGACAGCATAGCCAATGGTTGCTGGGGGATTGTGGGATTTGCTGTCAGATGCATGTGGAGGGCACCAGCTTTGGGAAGGCTATGCTAGCATACCGAGCCTGAACACAGTGCATTACATTTGGACATGGCCTCCCCATCCCTTCTGCAAACTGAGAGCCTCTAAATTTACCCAAAGGGTTGGAAAGGAATGAAAATGCAGATGTTGCAGTTGGAGGTACAATATGATCGCTTGTTATAAGGTACAATGTGAACTCCTGCAACTGAGTTAATGTGAATGAAGGATGAATTACTGCGGAATGTGTGTTTTCATTTCCATTACATATTGCGCAAATTATTGCTTCTGATTAATGTCATCAACAACGCAGCCGTGGCTCTTAAAGCACCAGGCACAAGCTTGGCTCAGCCATTTCATTTATGTGAGGGTACTCATTAATTCCCCCCCTCTGTAGAGTGAATACATAATTTCCCTCTATAAATCAATGCTTTATTTGTTCCCCCTCCCCCCTGGATCCCAATAACCAACATTTCATTTTATCCTTTGAAAGGGAGCATATGTTGAAACATAAGCCTGCCTGCAAAATATTTTCCGAAGAAATTTTTCATTTCTTAAAATTAAGCATCTTAGGGCGCAATGTCTATAACCCTCTAAATTTAGAGGTTGAGGGCATCCTGTGGAGGGCGGGGGGAGCCTGGGAGGCACCTCTCACTCTGCCAAGCACTTAAATAGCCAGTTTCCATTGCTCGGACGGGAATCAAGAGGAGGTCAAGTGCAGATAATGCTGACTGCTGTGTAGCCTTTGTGCAAGCCATCAGAATGAAGCTGATGGATCAGAGTTCGGGAGCCTCGGCCACAAACACATCCTCTGAGTACAGTTATTTGTTCCACACCCCTCAGGCTTGCCTCTATAATGAGTAGGTGTAGAGGCCAAAGGGGAGAGGCCACAAGCTTTGAAGGGGGAAGGAACGGGGATGGAGCACCACCAGAATAGGTTGTATCATGGTGGCTTTGTTCTCTTTCCCTTGAATGCCCCAAAACTCTTTCTCCAAGTTTCAAGGAGAACCTTGTTTCTCTTTGTTTCTCTTCATTGCCAGATTCAAGAGTGGATCTCCAGCTATGATGCTGGAATAATATTCCAACCCTGTAGCTGGGCATCCAAAAATCCTATGACCTTCCAGTTGGGAAACCAAGAAAATCCTATGACCTCGAAAAGATTCCCATACTCCTCAAAGTTGATAGGGTTACAGTCACCCCCACTGGATGGCGCTCCCCAGCCCATAAACGTATGACCAAAATAGAAATATATACAGATTATTATTTAGGTCAACAGATGTACAAATGTGGTTGGTGTGGTTTCTATTTGAAGCTCACCTGTACAACCATGGCCTTCTAAGTCCAAGATATACGTATCACCAGGTACTCATAGTGGTGCACCAAAGACTTGGCAAATCCCCTGTTCATTCTGTCAGCCTATATGACGGGTGGCAGGCTGTGCTAAGTGTGGTGGTCAGAACAGGCGTTAATGCCTTGTGTGTAAAAGTCCATACTAAAGTCTTTCTTACAGATAGGACTTTGTCTTTATATGTCTGTATTTCTTCAAGAATCTCATCCAAAACCTTGATTCTGGGCGGACAAGGAATGATTGATCATATGAAACTGACCCAAAGCAGAAAAATAAGTGCTTTTTGAATGTAAGGATAACAAGCAATGTGAATAAAATGCCTTTGGTGTTCTTTCAAACTGGCTGCATTACTTTTTTTTCCTTTTTTTGTTCCTTACAAAATCGTGTTGCTTGCAATTTTCCATATCAACTTACCTAGTTATTTAAATGAATTCAGCCTGGGTTTTTTGGCTGAAATAAAATGAGAAAGAATATGTATGCATATGAGTCAGGAGGGAAAAAATTGCATTCCTTTATTTAGTAGTCTTCCTGCTCATTAAATGATTACAGGGACAGTTTATCCTCTTTCAAGTTCATTTCTGCTAGATAATTTGAATTGCCACTGGAATGCCTGTGGTAAGAAAGGAAATTTTGTCACTGCTCAAGCGCCTAATCAAAAAGAGAAGCAAGGAGCTTCACGATTAGTCAATGGCTTGGATTAGTTTTTGTGGCGATCCCTGTTTGTTTCCTTACTTTGCTTCCAGAATATACAGAAATCACGGTGGGAGGGGGTGTTGCAGTGACTGCTTGAGGACTGATTAATAACCAGACTCAGTATCTTCCAATTCAGCTAACTTTATACAGATGACTTGCTTCATGCTGAAATTATAAGTGCACATAGATAGGCCTATCGAAGGATTATGAGCAGCTGCGGATAATCTTAAAACAATGCAAAGGTTGCTTTGTGAATGATTATTTCCCTACTGAGCTGTCAGATGTGTACATGGCATGTACATAGACATGTAGACAAATGCAGGTTTGGGTTGCTATGGGAGCTGTGAACATGAATCCACAAACCCACTCACACTTCATCGTGAAATTGTTAATACATTGATTCAGGCTTCCTGCAAAGTCGAGCATTTTAAGTGGATGGGTGTTGACCAGTTTGGCAGCATCTCCAGTTATAACTGAGCTGAAAGAGAACTTCAGCTATTGGGCAGAGCAGAAATGTAATACCTAAGTAAGCCAAGTCTCAGGAGATGCAGTGTATTCCATAAGTAGACTTCTGTCACTACTCCTGCTGGCAGAAGTCTGTTCTTTAATAGAAAAAATGTCATGGAGATTGACCCAGAGCAACATCAAGACAGTGCAAGGGAACTCTGCATTATTCATAGTCTGAGCAGAACACAGTTTAATTCCCAGCAGAAGTTCCTGGGCAGCTGCTAGCCTCTATACAGGCAGATTAGAGCCTTTTCTTGCAAGGGGGCTGCCACATGCTGCTGGTTATCTCAGCCGCGTCACCATTTCATTCTGGGGCTGGTTGGGACCAAGGTGAAGAGCAGCTTGAGTTAGTATGCATATGACCCAAACAAGTTCCTTTTGGTCCTGTATTCTGCACTTTCTATTCTCATATTTCCTGTTTTACGCCATTCCAAACATGGCAGAGCATCACCAATATCTCCAAATGCAATAACACATGAAACAAATAATATTATTTGTTTATTATAAATATTTGCAAAATACTTTATTTCAGATAAAACATTATGTATTTTAAGCATACTCTGTTAAGTGTATTTGAACACATAAATAATATAAACTTGTTTAAATATTTTCAAATGTTCTCAAAACAACTTTTAAATGCTAAAAACTATGCACAGGTATTGCTGTTTCTTTCTAATGTTTAGAAAAAAACCTCCATATTTACAATTTGTGTTTTAGTTGGATATAGACCACATTTTAAAAAGCTAAAATCAATTCAGTGCAAATTTTACAGTGGATTGCATTGCACATAGGGCTCAGGTCCCAAGCAGTGCTACGAAAATGGAAAGAATGCAATATATACTTGTTCCTTAAAAAAATTAGATTAGCCGAGTTTGGTCGACTTGGAATAACTCCAGTTTCTGAAATTCAAATAAAAAATACTTTGGACAGACAAATCCAAGTTTTTCTGTATACTAACCCCAGACCTAGAAGGCATTTTGTCAAAATTTTAAGTGGTAACAAACAGTTGATTATTCTGTCAGATTTCATTGTCTTTTATTTTCCACATGAACACAGTCTCTTACTAGTATTTTCCAACTGGTTAAGTTCACACTATTCAAGGGCCAAATCAGACAGTATGTTTAATATTTTAAATGCAAAGTAATGCCCTTGTTCCTTTCCAATGGATGACCCATTTTGCGTTTGTAAACTGAGCCAGAACCAGTCAGGACCAATGTATAAACAAGGCTTGAAGGGGAGCAAAGGTTAAACCATCAAGCTGCATTAATAAACATCATGGCTTGTTTCAGCTCCTCCCTTCTCACTGATATCACATTTATATTGTGTCTCATTTATGGTGGTTTTTAGTGATTCATTTTCTGCATCTCATTGTCTATCTATCATTGCAATATAGAGAAGTTCACTCAAGAAAGAAGAGCCAATGTGTTGGATTTAGAGGCATGAATAGCATTTTCCAAAGGAGTCCTTGGAATGACATGCATATGGCACAGGAGGGGAAGTCTCAGCAGGACTGAGAGTGCAGCCCATTCTGAAGAAACCCACTCTGGACCCAAGGGAGCTGGACAACGACCACCCACTGCAAATTTGCTTTCTTAGAGAAGGTACCTGAAAGCGCTATCATGGAACATCTGTAGGCATTCTTGAAGGACATTGATTACCTAGATCTATTCCAGTCTGGGTTTTGACGTGGTTATAGGACCAGATCAGCGTTGGTCATCCTGGTGGATCACCCTGAGGGACAGGAGTACAGCCCTGTTAATTCTACTTGACCTCTCATCAGTTTCCAATAACATTGACCATAGTATTATCCTGCATCAATTCCTTGGACTTGGAATTGGTCCCAGTCTTACCTGCAGGATCCATTTCAAACAGGCAACTCCTCAGCCTCCTCTATGGGGTTCTGCTTGATACCATCCTCCCTAAATGCAGTCTAACATCATATCTCTGGGAAGCTGCTAGGAGCAGTTATCAGGGGATTTGGAGCCCAGAGACTCACAGCTGTATCTTCCTGTGACCTCTGGATCCAGTGATGCTGTGCAAGTCCTGAGTCAGTGCCTAGACTCTGTGATGGGCTGGATGAAGGCCAACTAAGAAAGCTGGATCCTATCATGACAGAAGCCCTGGGGGTCAGTCATGCTCTGGATGGGGCTGCACTCACCAGGTGCACAGTCTGGGCACGCTCCTACTCATGGTTCTCATTGGAGCCCCATATGACTTGGGCTGCCTTCTGTCAGCCCTGAGTAGCTTGCCAGCTGTGGGCTGTATTGGACAAAGACTGCTTGGCCACAGTAGAACAGGCATTCGTAACCTCAAGACCAAATGAGCTCAGTATGGGGCTGGTCTGGAAGCTTGAGCTAGTGCAGATGCAGCGGCTTGGCTGTTGTTAGGTGCTGCTCCTTTCCAACATGCAACTGCTTTGCTGAAGGAACTGCAGTGGCTCCTTGGTCAGTATTTAGTTTTGGGCACTCCTTGGTCTGGTTTAAGTTTTGGGTACTAGCATATAAAATCCTAAACAATGTGGGACCAAGAGAACTTCCATATAGCCTGAAGTGCCAGATCCTGCCTAACCTTGGAAACTAAGGTTGAAATCTGGATGGGTAACTTAAATGTTATTAACCACCCAGAGTGCTTCTGCTCTGGGTGGTATCAAAATGTAATGTTGTCATAGTAGTAGCAGCAGTAGTAGTAACATCTTCAGAGAACATCTTCTCCCTTACCAGCATGCTGGTCACAGAGGTTGCTGGATGATTTGCTCCTGGTGGGTTTCAGCTGGACCTATAGTCCAACCTGAGTCTACCTGAAGAACAACCATCTGTGTAGCAGGCCCACTTCTTTGGAACTTCCTGCCTCTGGAGGTAAGGCAGCACCAACATGGTAATGTTTTCAGCACCTCCTGAAAATGTATTTATTTCACAAAGCCTTTCTGAACTAACCAGCCACTTTTTAAATGCTTCTCTTTAAAAGATTGTCTTATTCCTTTACTCTATTCTGTCTTTTAATTCTTCATTAGAATCTTCAATCTACAATCTTTAATTTCAATGTATTTTATCATGTTGTAAGCCGCCCCGAGGTTTCGGCAAGGGGCGGCATAGAAATGCTATAATAATAATAATAATAATAATAATAATAATAATAATAATAATAATAATTGTAGAAACTTCACACTTGAATATGAAATGGAATATAAAAGTGCCAAGTTAAATAAATAAAAAAGAGGTGGATCTGCCTCGCACAATTGGATGTGCTTTGTGCCCCTGCAAATATGTTTGTGGATCCAAGCCAAAAAAAGGCACTTGTATAATGTCTGTCTTGCTGAACATGTCCTGCTAAAATATGCATAGACAGGTACAGTTCAGCCTATATCTGCATGTGCATCTTAAAAAACAGTGTGCTTTGAATATAAATCTAGGCATCCTGTGTCCATCGAGTCAAAGGTCCATTTAAATGAACCGTTCAAAAAGCTAAGGATGGATTCACTGATAGTCTAACATACATATTCATGATGCTTTTTTGAGGGCAACAAACCTTTATTAAATGGTTAACAGCCACTAGTTTACTACCTATTTACTACAAGCTAGCGTCTACTGGATACTAATGGCACCACTTTAGTAGAATCACTGAGGCTTCACTCGTGCAGCTGGCGGCATCCACTGAATTCTGCTCCTGGACGCTCTTGCTCCTCTTGCACCTTGGTGGTCTGAGTCCTCGCAATTCTCTGGCAGCCTCCTGGCTTCTAATGTATGTTTTAACATTCCTTCGCTGGTCACTCCTCAGATTCTTGGCCTGTCTGCTATTGCAAGATGCCAAAATATATGTTCCCATCGCCCCCCCCTCCCTTCCACCATTTGGATAACCTTCACATCTCAAAAATGGCTTTGCTGTTGCTGCTCTCATGTTCTTGCTTTGCCGCAGGCATTTGCATCGTCTTATCTTGAGTGCCCCTCTCTTTTGTCAGGCTTTCTTTCCACTTCATCACACACCCTTTGAGCTGAATATTACCTTTGATCACGTTGTGGCATTGACTTTTTAAAGCGCCCGTGAGTTTGTGAGCATTTTGCTTTATCAACGGGTCTTTCTTGGGCCTTAAAAAACGAGAGATAACAATGTGGGGCTTTACTTTACCTCAGGCTTGCAAAGTTGTGATTTTTCACTATTTGAGGCAGTCCGGCCATTCCGTGTGTCTGTGAGGGAGAACAAGCAACCTATTGAGGACCTCTTTGCTCCATCCTTTCTTCACACACACTGCTGCCAGCCCACTATATCTCCGTGTTTGCGGTCTTGTCCTCCCTTTTTATTCCCAGGCCTGATTTGTGGGTGATTGAAAAATTAAATAGAAAACGCCATTATTGCACCAAGACAGGAAAAGCACTGTAGGAACACAAGAGAAGCCCTGCTGGATCAGGCCAAGGCTCCATCTAGTCTAGCAGGCTGTGCAAACCGTGGCCGGCCAGCAGCTCACCGGATCCCGTGAGCAAGACGAGTGCAGCAGCACCCTCCTGCCCAAGTCGCCCCAGTGTACCTAGGCTTACTGCCTTGGGTACTAGAAGCAGCACCAGGACTAGCAGCCACTGACAGCCTTCTCCTTCTTGAACTTGTCCAATCTTCTGTTAAACTGTCCGTATCAGTGGCCATCACTGTATCTTATGGAAGTGAATTCCACAGTTTAACTATATAAAGGATGAGATGGTGAATAGAAGAAGGGCCTTTTTGGTGGCTGCCTCCATATACGTAGCTAGAAGCATGGCTTCTAGATCGAGAGAGAGATTACTGCCACTCTGGACAACTCTGGTGCACCCACAGCTGGAGTATTGTGTTTGACATGCACATGAGTGGAGCTGGCTGGAGCCAGGGGTCAGACTAGATGGCCCAAGAGACCCCTTTGTACTCACTCTGTTTCTATGTTTCTATATGGAATAGGCTCCCCAGAGAAGTTTGTCTGGCACCAACTATGCTTTCATTTCAGTGGCAGGTGAAAACATTTCTCTCCTCCACATATTTTAATAACTTTAATAATTAATTTAATAATTAATTTTAAATTCTTATTTTTATTGGGATTTTAATTAATCAGTATGGTTGTCAGTGTCAGTTTGACAAGTTTTAGAATGATCCTTGCTAAATTATTGTTGCTGTTAATTGTCATTTATATTTTAATGATGGTTTTTAATGTTCTGTTGTGTATTTCAAATTTTCTGCTTGCTATATGCTGCCTAAAGGGTCTTTTTGGACTACTTGGCAGCTTAGACATGCCAAATAAATAAATAAATAAATAAAGATGCATTTCTTTTTATCTGTCCTGAATCTCCCCCCAATCAGCTTCATGAGTTTTAGTATTGTGGGAGAGGAAGAAAAATCTCTCTCAATTTACTTTCCCACACCATGCCTAATTCTGCACGCTTCTATCATGTCTCCCCCTTCTCGGCTTTTTTCTGAAAGCAGCTTCAAGCTGATGGAACTGTTCTTCTGCTCCAACCCTTTGAACATATTAGTCACCCTTTTCTATAGTTCATTCAACTCTTTAATATCCTTTCCCTGGATGCAGCAACCAGAACTATACACAATAAGTGCCTAGATTTGTATAAGGGCGCTGTAAAATTGGCAGGGGTTTTTAAAATAGATTTCCTAACGTGGGGTTTGCCTTCTTTGGAGCAGCTCCACACCAGGGTGAGTTTTCATTGCACTGCCCACCACAACCCCAGATCCCTTTCTTGGTCAGCCACTGAGATCTAATTCAAAGGTTGCCACTTTTGGATGATATTCCTTCTAATACTTCCCTCTGAGCGTGGCAATTACAAATACATGAACACAGTAAAAGGTACCCCATGTCCAGGTAAGAGTGCATGTCTGTGCAGTGAGGCAGTGCTGTAGTGCAGCCAGGGCTGGAGGGATGCCCGCTTGATGGACATGAGCTTTCCATTGCTTTAGGTCCTCCAGTGATGGACCTCCCTCTTCACCCAGGGAAAAGTCTGCTCCACAGCATACAGCAGCCCCTCATCCACCCTCCTGGGCTCCTAGGATGCTCCCTACATTCAGTCATGTACTGGTTTTCTTCCAAATAGGTCCTGCATGGAACAATGAACAAAAGCATAGAATCATAGAATGGTAAGGGTTGGAGGGGCCAGTGGCCAATGGGTCCAGCTCCCTGCCCAGTGCAGGACTCCAAGTTGAGCCGTCCCTCTCAGCTGGCTGTCCAGCTGCCTCTTGAATGCCTCCAATGTGGGAGAGCCCACAACCTCCCCAGGTCATTGGTTCCATTGTCATACTGCTCTAAAAGTCCGGAAGATCTTGCTGACGTTCAGCCAGCACTTGGCTTCCTGTCACTTGAGCCGTGTCCTGCACTCTGGCATGATCAAGAAGAGATCCTGTCCTTCCTCTTCGTGACAGCCTTTCAAATTCTTGTAGAGTGCTATCATATCTCCTCTCAGTCTTCTTTTCTCAGGGTTAAATATGCCCAGTTCTTTCCATCTCATCCCACAGAGCTTTACTTCTAGTTCCTAGATCATCCTTGTTACCCTCCTCTGAACTCTTTCCAGCTTGTCTGAATCTTTCTTAAAATGAGGTTCCCAGAACTGGACATGGTACTCTAGATGAGGCCTAACCCATGCTGAGTGAAGGAGGGACTAGTACTTCATGGGATTTGGAAGTGATACTTCTTTTTTTTATAAAGATTTTTTAAAAAAAATTTAAACTAAAAACTAAAAACATCAATCATCAAATACATCGGACATACTGGGTCAGTCCCTTATAACGTATCTTTTTAACATTCTATAATCAAATTCAAACCAATTTATAAAAATTTAAAAACATCTTTAAATCTAAGCCAAGTCCCATTTCTCCAGCCAATCATAAAAAAATCCCAAGTTTGGTAGAAGTCAGTATCTTCTTTCTCCTTCAGTAATAGAGTCAATCTGTCCATTTCTGCACAGTCCAGAATCTTTTCTAAAATCAGTTCCTCAGTGGGTAATTCCTCACTCTTCCAGTATTGAGCAAGCGCAATCCTCGCTGCTGTGATTAAATGTAGCATCAAATACATTTCTTGTTTGCTAATATTTTCCGGTATAATGCCTAACAAGAAAATTTCAGGTTTAAAAGCTATGGGTTTTTGTAGCATTTCCTCAAGCCATTTTATGTATTTTAATCCAATACTTTTTCACATATTCACAGGTCCACCACATATGGTAAAAAGTACCCACATCATGTTTACATTTCCAACATCCGTTTGACATATTTGGAAACATCTTAGCTAATCGACTTGGTGACAAATACCATCTATAAAATATTTTATATAAATTTTCTTTATACGAAGTTGCTAAAGTTACCTTAATGTTTCTCTCCCATAGCTTTTGCCACTTCTCTAATTCAATATTATATCCAAAATTTTGTGCCCATGTTATCATAGTTTCCTTGACCTGTTCCCCTTCCATTTTCCTGTCAAGTAAGAACTCATAAATTCTTTTAATCATTTTCTCATCTGTTTTTAACATCACTTGATCAAAGGCTGTTAGGCCTTTATAAAACCCCCATATTTTACAATCTTTAGCATATCTGGATTGCATCTGCACCTTATACCACCAAGAGATATTTAGTCCCTGTTCTTGTATTTCTTGATCTAGTTTCAGGCCTCCATCCTTGTCCAAAATATCGTATCTTATGACCCCTTCAAAATTCAATAAATTTGGATACACAAAAGCTTCCATAGGTGAAAGCCATCTTGGTAATTTATTATACAATTTTGTCTTTAATTTTCCCGCACTGACATAAATGATCTTCTAATAAAGTGACTTAAAAAAGTCCCATGAGACTTAACCTTCTCGTACCACATACAAGCATGCCAACCCATTTGCAAAGCATGACCTTCAAGATACAAAATT